TGCTAAACAAGGCATCGGTTCCCAAAGAAACTTTTGGAACTCCATAGGCTTCAAACAATAGCTCGTGAGTCACTAATACATAAGCCTACAAGCATATACATTTCCGGGATGGATTGCAGGGAACTTCTGTTAACACAATGGGATGTTTTATGGGATACTCCGCGATTCCTAGTGTACAAAATAAGCCATCCAGAGTGGTTTCCTTGAAAAAGTAAAATTTGACTTACCATGACGTCAAAGTTGAGCGTAACATCGTTTTCAAAGGCAGATCTGGTCCCCACACGGGACATATTGTGCCCAACAAACGAAGAGGAGGCAGAAGAAGCTCCCAGCCCGTACAAAATCTTGGAATCTGTCTTCACATTATATTTGGTGATGTAATTTCCCACGTCCACTATTACCCAATCAATGATATGCTAGTACCGCATGGTGAATCTTGACTGCTGTATCCTGCTCTTAGATGGAAGGAACCTATTTCATATAGATGCCAAAATACCATTATCTATTACGATAGAAGTATCCGAGGAAATATCTGCATATTTTGGTATCGTTTGTGACTCCCCATCACTGGGAGGCCTACAAATGGCATCAGCTGAGGTTACTAACATTTCAAAATTTAAAAGAGAAAATTAATCTTGATGCTGGTTGGCGATTGTAAATTGGGATACCCATTATGAAAAGTCTTTTAATAAGGATGGAGAATGTAGCCATCAGTGTGGCAAAAGGATGCATCTTCCTCCTTTTGTGTATTGTGATAAACGGCTGCATCAATATAACTTGTTTATAGGCAAAATACCACGGCCTTGAGTATTTTGTTCTGAGACAAGTACAATTTATTTCTAAAATTAATTTGGCACAACTATGTCAGCCCCGAAATTTTTTAATCAGCGCCAACATTTTAAATCAATTTATCATCGAGTCATGAACCTTGGGGCAAGACAAAGCTCCATCAATAACGGGGTTTCCGGACTCATACTATGCTTCCTGATTTCTTGTATAGTCCTTTTAATTTATTGTCTTCATCTCTACATATTCAAAGAATGCTTCGAGAATTCTAAAACTTTCTGGGATAATGCACCTGCAAGACATGTCGATAAAGCAGCTAGGCCTTTCCAGAAAAGCGAGCCGCTTTCTAAAGATGATGTGATTTGGTTTTTACACGTCTCTGATATCCATATTTCCAAGCTCTCTTCAAGGTCATCGGACCATTTTTTATCCTTTGTTGACAATATCCTTCCTACGGTGAATCCATCCTTCGTTTTAGCTACTGGCGATTTGACCGACGGTAAATTCAAAGGGACAATAAAAACAGGCCAAGTTCTTGAGGAATGGAAGTTCTACTACGACACTCTGATGTCGAGAAAAATCAACTCATCAAGGTGGATAGATTTGCCTGGTAATCACGACAAGTTCGATGTTGCTGATCATCGAAAGAATTTTTATTCCTTGTTTGGTTTGCAGGCAAATTACGATCAAATATTACATACAGTTAGCACAAGGATCGGAGACATCAATATTTTATCCCTTGACGCAAGGTATGAAGGGCATTACTTTTGAACTATAGTCCCCTGCCAGGTCTTGGCCGCCCCCTGAATTTCTTTGGGCATCTAGATAGGCCATACATGGATCGACTAGAGAAAGCTTTAAATTCTCCCAAAATCCAAAACTCTGATCCCTTAAAAACAATTGCAATTTGCCACTATCCACTTTGTACGATGACTTTTTCGCAAAGCTCTCTGGGTACCCCATTTTCGACTTTGACAAAAAAGATTTCTTTATACCTTTCCGGTCACCTGCACAATTTAATATTTGGATTGGGAGACGATCTTACTACAATTCACAATACTGGATTTACCGAAATTGAGGTCGGCGATCTTCAAGCTCATAAGCAATTTAATTTATACTCCATGACGAGCCGAAACACATTTTCTTGGTCTTCCCATACGATTGAAGATAAAATCCTATTGCATGTGATATCTCCCAAAAGCTCCCGCTTTGTCCTCACTGATCGTGAATCAAATTGGATTGGTAGAGATGAAAACGGCAATCTTCTCGTCGATCTGCTTTTGTTTCCCGTTCAAAATACATCAATTAGTCATTTGACAATAACAATTGATGGCAATTCTAAAACTATACAGTCCCATGAGATAACGCTTCCTTTTTTTACATATTCTTTTGAAGGTACTCGTAATATAAATTCTGAACAGTCGCATGCTCTTCTTGTTACGGCAGTTCTTGATGACAATTCGACAGTATCGATGGGACATTCTTTTTCATTATGCTTTGAAAATGGCTTCATATATGATACTGTTGGCTCCAAAATCATGTCATTTCCCTTTGTGTCGTTCTTTAAAGCGCTATATTGGATCAGCTATTCTCTGGTGCTGTTGTTCTTTGGAGCATTTATATATTTCTTAATACCTCATGGCCACGGTATGAAAAAAGTATCTTGCCTCTGTGTTCTCTATATTTTTCTGGCTATTTCGCCGATCAGCCCATTGCTTATTGGAAAATTTATAACCGACATTCCATATTTGCAAATGATCTTTTTTATGGGAATGCTAAATTTGGATCCTAATGGCTTTCGATGGAGTTTCATGGCTGATTTTCCAATCTTCTATTCTGTCTATTGGAGCTCTTTTGTAGCACCGCTGGTAATGCTATTAATGCTAGAGTATTTATTTTCCGATTCTGTGATCCTGAAGCTCCTAAAGTTTGTTACGCTAGCAATTGGAGCATGTCTACTTGCACTGATTTTCTTGAACTATGGGTTTCTTTCAATTGTTGTATCTCCTGGAATCTCCTGGATCTTTTTTCTGTTATTGATATTTTCAATTAGCGGCCTTCATGTACCCAAAGTGACGGAGGCCAAGGAGATTCATAGTGAATAAATTTTATCGCCCCTTGATGTGTGTTAAATTTAAAAAGTTCATTTTTTAATTGGCTTTTAAAAATGGAATATGTCCTTTGGGCCATCTCTCCATCTGGCCAGTGCTTTATTTTCGATTTTTCCTCTGGGGTTATTTTGAAATCATGGAATGTTCCGGCTTTTTCTGCACCAAATAGTTGTAGTTTAAAGCCCTCTGTGATTTCTTCGGGTATTTTAGCTGAATGGCTGATGATGTATTTTGAAAAACCCCGCATAGCCTATTTCTGTCATCACTCGTTGCTTTCTGGAAAGAAAAGACCTGGTCAAGGGGCTTTTGAAGAATCCATTTGTAACTCAAAGGTTCTGTCGTTGGTCTCTTACCTGCAATAGGAGCCCGGTCCGTGGATAAAGATCTTTCCAGAAGAGCCTTGGAGCGCCATGTGCATGTCAAACAACCAATCTTTTGTGATATCTGGGTCTATTTCGGGAAAGCTTTCCGTTTGGAGGGTTATTAGACTTTGCTAATATTAGGTGTCTACTGGACAGCTGTTGGCATGTATGTTTGTCCACTACCTGCCGATTGAACACATTACCATTTCAAAGGATGATAAACTATTGATTGTGGTCACCAAAAACTCCTGCATACTTGGGTTTGATTTTCAAAAGTTTGGCTGCTTTTATAATTTTAGATTGCTAGGAACAAACAGCGACACCATGCCACTGCATTCTGCAGAGTCCTTTGAGGGGTTTTTGTTGTTCCATAAAATTCATCTATTTGCTTCCGAAAATCCCAATGTGCGAGTAACTGATGTTCACATTGGCTTTGGCCAATGGCATGACGCTGTCTTGTACGTTGCAACGTCCGATTCGTCGTGCATGGTACGTTTGTCTGTTAATTTTAGCTATTTGATTGTCTATCTGGTGATCCACTTGCCACGATAAGATATTCTTCTGCAATCAGTAAGCTTTGCATCGATGCACTGGAGACCATGGTTATTTCGGGTGCCTTTGACGGAGATATTTTTGTATACCTGCTTGAGGGCATGGAAAATTCGGCCTCTCCCTTTGCATTGAAAGGCCATGCTTGTGCAGTAAACTCCCTTTCCATCACGGGCCAGTCGCCCTTTTTGGTTTCTGGAGATGAATCTGGATGTATTTTTGTTTGGGATCTCGTTAACAAACTTAAAATCAGGACGTTCAACTACCCGGGGACAGGGTTGTCGTTTACACAAGTGAGCATAAAATCCCCATTCCTTTTGAATCCTCCTCATGAGGGCTATCAATTTCCCTTGATCAGGCCTTTTCAACGCACACTCGCATCTGCCGAAGAAAGGCACAATGTGTCCTGTTATATTTCAAGCACCTCTACCAGGGAACGAAAGTCCTCCGCAGTGGCACCAAATCAGTGCACAGAGGACGTTAAAACCCTAGCTAACACTTACAAGAATCTTATAGGAAATTTTTTTGATATCATTAACTCACCGGTATTTATTAACAAATAAACAGCTGTATTTTTCAGTACAAATCTGGGATTCCCCCTTTGTTTCGATCCTGTTTTAGCTCTTTCCTCTTGGATTTTTCCTGTCTAATAGAGGCTTCGAATCTTTGCTTGTGTCTCTTCACCAATGCCTTTTGCTCAGCAGGCGTTTCGCCAGGCTCTCCCTTGGCAGCTTCCTTTAGCATTAGTAGGAACCGATTTAGAACATCCAATTTATTTCCCTCCTGCGTTCTGCATTTCTCACTAATGATCATAAGCTCCCCGTCGTTGGTAATTCTTCCTGCTTGCTTTGGGATTAATGGGTCGGAAATACCTGGCTAATCAAGTTTTCGCGCAGCTTTTCAGGAATCCATAATGCCTCCTTGATCAAGATGCGGCCATCGACCTTCGTATTTGCTATGAGATAAATTCAACTGAGATCGATATTCCCACTTGTATTTACATGCTGCCCGCCCGGTCCAGAACTCCGAGAAGTCCGAAAAAAA